AGCCCGAAGATATCCATTGCACAGGCCTTGGGTCGATGGCTTCTGCGGGACAAAGCTCGTCGGCGTTGTCCCAAGGTTCTTGGAGGGTGTGAGGACAGGGCGAGTTCAAATGTACGGTCGAACATGATGTTTTGGGTTCGCACGGAATGTGGTAAGTTAGCAAGTGAAAGGTTGATCGGCGAAGTTGCTACGTGTATTCTAGCGGTTGTGCTATGCGTAGTAAGTGCCTTTCAGTGCCACAAGTGGCCATAGTCATGTCTGAGGATGTCAGTTCAGCTGTGCTTGAGGACAATAGTTCTGCAAGGCGGCGACGAAAGGACAGACCTCAGAAGCTTGTGGAGCCTGATTTCCTGGCTTGCACACTGCACTTTCGTTGGAACTGCGCGTGCGCTGCAGCCGCAAGGTATCTAATCATGCAAGATTGGAGGATTGGATGTGCGTTGGGGTACGCTTGGGCTCTTGTCGTTGGGCTGTGCAAACAGGGCTTGGTGACAGTTCCGGAAGGGGACAAGGCCTTCTAGATTCTGCGTGCCATCATAGCTGAACTCATTCCTGACTTTGTAGAGAGCTTCCAATTGGCTGTGCGTGATGTGAGGATGATGACGACAAGGGCTCCCGCAGACGCAAGGACCGGCCAAGCTCAGATACACGGTCGAGCATAATTTGTTGGCTTGGTACGGAATGGGGTAAATATGCGTCAAGTCATATCATGTTTGGTCGGCGAAGCTGCCATTGCAGCAGTCGTGCTCTGCATAATAGGTACTGGCCATGGTCATGTTTGAGGATGTCAGCTCAGCTGTGATTGAGGACGATGATTGTTCGAGGCGCCGACGAAAGGACAGACCTTAGAAGCCTATGGAACACGATGTCCTGATGTTCGACCAGGAAGCAGTGGTAATGTAACAAGTGTAGCAGGCGGTGTGTCTTATCAGTAACTGTGAATTTGTGATTCTTGCAGTTGCGTTCTGCATGCACCGCTTGCTTCTGAGAGCAACATGTAGCATTGGCATGTTTGCAAAGAGAGCTTTTTTGGTTGCGATGGAGGACGACGACACGTCGGGACGTCGACGCAAGGACAGGGCTCAAAAGCTTGTGGATCATGATGTCCTGGGCATGTCCGGTAACGACACTCGATGTTGGATGCTGAATGAAGCCCCCCTCTAACACGGGCAGGAAAGGTCGAGCAGCAGCACCAATAGCAGTAGCAGCAGCAGCAGCAGTTGCTCGGCTTTTCTGGAACACAAGTTTTCTGAGCGTGTTTTGACCCTCAGTACTGCAATTCAGATTTCTGTATGCCTCTTAGCCCCAGACTGCATAGTTCTAGCAATCATCACACCAAGGTACGAGCAGCAGCTGCAGCAGCAGCAGTGTCAGCATCCCCCACAGAGGCAGCTTGAACAGAGGCTGCAAGCGTCTTACTCGTACTGTTCTTGCTCTCATTTTTGTCATCTTCCTCACTTTTCAGCATGGACACTGTTGAGTGTTCATACGTTGAGAGGAAATCTGGTGTCACTTTACTGGAGGGTGGATGGGTGCCAACCTGACAAATTAAATGAATCGCTTTGCATCGCACCCAGGTCAGGCGCTTTCGGTATTGGCAAAGCAGAAGCAGGACGGGCTCAAATTAGCCTGAATAATGTTGAGGTGGGGGGGGTAAAATTAAAAAGCATAGGCAGAATTCGAGTTGCTTTCTGCAGAAGACTTTCTGAGCATCTGAGCAGCAACGTTTGGGCAAAAGAGCCTTGATGAATCCCGCAGACCTTGGGACCAAATCTGGAAGCTTGCAGCCCGAAGTCTCTCTCTTGCCGAATAAGCGTTCATGTGGAGTTGCAAAGTGGAGACAGGAAATGCCAGCAACGATCGTCCTCAGCCCTGCAATTCCAGACGAGGCGAGCTGTGATCTTTCATTGCAAACCTGAATCTTCAAGATCATAGACCCCCCAAAGCCTTGCAATTAGATCTTGCGGATAGCGCCTAGCTTTTCTCTTTGATTTTCGAACACGCCATTGCACGCTTGTTCGGATGTGGATGGTGATACGACAATTTCTGGCGCCAGGATGACCAAAGCCTTGCTGAAGTCTTCAAAGAGGCCTGAGCCTCTGTTTCCGATTGATGAGACCGTGTAGCCCTCCATTGATGCAGTGTTTGCTACACTTCGATAAAAACTCCACGGCCTTCATAGCCGGAAGAGATCTTTTCATTGCGTGTAGCAGGCGATACGGACTGCCCAACGTGCAAGACAAGAGAAGAAGGCCCTTCGCTGAAACACAGGCATGTACTTTCAGCGTGGAGAGATTAAGCTTTTTGAAATCGTAGCATTGTTACACAATCAGCACATTTTGAAAGAATATAAAAGAACGAGACAGCTTAAGCAAATGATTTCCAATCTGAATTTCAGCACTGAAGGCACACTTGGCATGGATCTGCATTCTCCCGCATACACTCTCTACAGGTATGTAGTTGTTCCTTGAGACGTTGGCTTCCTGACTATTACACATAAATTGCGCACTCCTGATGCTCACGCGCAATAGACGAGATATGAAAGGAAGATGTGAGAACTGGGGGGAGGCCTCGCGAATTCAGACGCCTTGAGTTCAGTGTTTCTGGAGGGAGGAGAGGAGACTCCCTACCGAAAATCCGAGACACAAGACCCCCAAGGCTTTGCAATCAGATCTTACGGATAGCGCCTAGCTTTTCTCTTCGATTTCCGAGCACGCCATTGCATGCTGAAGACAGTTCAGGCGTGCACCATGCGGAGCGGTGATTGCCCACAGCTCCCTTGTATTCCCTGTCCCGGTGTGGATCGGTGTGGATGGTGATGCTACACTAAGGATGACAAGAGCCCTGCTGAAGTCTTGAAAGAGGCCTCAGCCTCTGCTTTTGATTGAGAGTAAAACCGGGCAGAGCTGGAAGGTGATTGTTCTTTATGTGCTGATCAAAACGTTGAGAGCTGCTAGAATATGTTGCACAAACTTGAGTAACGGATGAATGTGGTCGATAGCAGAAGGCACCAGGCCGAAACAGGAATGCAAAGATCAAGGTGGTGGATGCCGTGTGTTCCGGGCTGAACTGAGCAGAGCACTGACTGGGGTGTTGGTTTCCGCTTCGGCCTCCTCAGAGTTTTGAGTTGGTTTCTTACTTACCAGCCCATGAGCCCTAATTAGATCTAATTAGTTGCAAACCGCAAACCCCATTCGCCCAGAGAATCCGTGCATGATTGAAGGTTCGCAGCCTACGAATCACGCAAAGCCTTGGTGCGTCCTCTAGGGCTGGTAGACCCAAACCTCCTTTTGAGCCATGTGCTGATGACAGTCTTGCAATGAACACGCTGATGATGGAAGTTGAGTGATGAGGATGTGCAAAGTCAGGTGTACATTCTCAGTAGAGAGCAAAGTAGAGATAGTCAAGCGCAGCCTGGGGAGTGTGTTGCACCGAAGGCGCCAGGTGATCCCGCAGCTGATCCCAGTGAGTCTCAAGGCACTCTGGGTTTCGGCCGGGCCATATTTGCTGAAGCTCTTGTTTGAGCCGCGTTGGGTATCCCTTTGTTGTAGCGTCGGGCGTGAGGCGAGGAATTGAAGCTGAGGATCAGATGTAAAGATTGTCAAAGCTCTGTCAGAGCAATATTAGTATTGTCGGTACTCAACTTACATGTTGCAAGAATCAGTTTCTGCAATTTAGAGCTTTAAGCTTGAGAGTTCTGACGCAAGTTCTGTGTGCCGTAGCAGGAGCTCAGCTAAACTTGGCTGCCCCCTGTGTGGTGAAGACGCCTCGTGTGGATCTCAGAAGCAGCTGTGCCAGAATTCAATAGATTTGCGCCTTATGCGCAGAGGACCAACCAGAGCAGCCACCCACGCCGCCCTGGTTGCGGCCGAAGCCTTCATAGCCCGACGTCGGCAGATGTTCAAAGGACGTTCGGGACAATTACATCTGAAATTCTGCTCTGCCTCCATGCTAGGTTCAGAAGTTAATTGTGCCAGGCTATGGACGGTCAGATAGCAGCCTGAGTTCTGCAACGATCACATTGCTAAGTCCCTTCAACAGAAAAACATACGAATGGCATGTTGGCAGTAATTTGAGTTTTCATGCTCATCTAGGCCGTAGCATGCTGGCTAAGTCGGCTAAGTGGGAGTGGAAACTCCATTGTTGATGACGGCGGGCCGGCATATGCAATGAATTTGTAGTTGGCAACTTGCATTATCTTCTACTATGACTACGGCAATTGCCGCAAACGGTTTTTCGAGCACACGCTGTGGTGTTTTTTGTCATTGAAAGCATTGATCGCCGCCGGCTCACACATGTTAGAGCCCCAAAGTTCCCACCTGTGATCCACGCGACTTGGAAGCGGAAGCGCCGCGTCAAATCTCAAATTGCAGACTGAAGACCTGGAACCGCGAACCTGCAAAAGATACCTTCGAAGCCAGAAACTCGAGGCAAAACAAATGGAATTCCAAGCCTTGTCACGAAAGCTCTTTGGAAGGAGCTTTGTTTAGTACCTCACAGAGTGAGACTGGGGATCCTGGTAGGGGGGATCTTGGGGGGTCTTGGGGATGATCTTGAGGGGATCTTGGGGGGGGATGTTGGGGGTCTTGGGTGGATTTCGGATTTTCTGATGGTTTTGGTAGCAGGGTCGGATTTTTTTCTAATGGGCGGTCAGGGCGGGGCTGCATGCTCTTCTGGTTGTATATGGTCTGTCTCTTCACATCCTGTCTCGCTATTCCTGAGCTTTCGTCCCAGCCTGTGGCTCTCAAGTAGGTAACATATTGGAAGTGACCCAGAACATGCCTGGAGCGTGACACAGGAGCCACGACTCCGGTGGCTGAGCAGAGTCTCGGCCGAGGCGCGAGTTTAGTCAAAGTTGAGCGCTTCAGAGGAGGGTTTCACCGTCAGGTGCTCCCAGATTGATCATGCCCTCCAAGTTCAATGATATTCGTGACGAATGTTAGTGTGAGTGTCGACAAGCTTTTTGTATGTGAAGGCGCAGCCCTTTTGAGCTCAAGCCTATGGCATGCAATAAGTGTCGCCAGGGCAATCGTAGCCCAGGCGACACGTGGTGCCTGGGTTGCCGAGCGCTCGAGGTAGCTCAGCTGGAGCTGGGGAGGCGTTGGCCTTGCCAACCTGCGCGGGACCTTGCGGAAGAGATCCTGCTGAGTGCAACCAGGCACGTAAAGAGGCTTGGTGAACTGGGGCCTGGGCTGCTGAGTGAGCCCGCGAGGTACACGTTACCTTTTGAATCGGGAGCGGCCAGGAGCCCCCCGGCTGTTGCTGCTCAGGTCCGTGCCAGCCCCGTTGGGCCGGCTGGATTGGAGGGGCAACGTGCCGAGGAGGGCAGGGTCCCACCTCCTGATTCGGCGGGGCCTGTGGCAGCCCCTGTGGTGGAGGCCGGAGCCCGTGGGAGCGAGGCGGCAGCTGGCCCTGACGAGGACGAGCAGCAAAGAGTTCAGCACCTCCTCCTGAGCCTGTCGTTCGGGCCCCAGATCTGGTCCTCAGGGAAGCTGGGCGAAAGCGCGAGCTGGAGGTGGAAACTGTGAGGGCCGGATCCAAGAAAAAGAAAAATAAAAAGAAAGCAAGCACCAGCAGGTGACTGGGAAGCCGGAAGGGGCTCTGAGTCACCGAACATTGGCCCACGAGGACCTGGAGTTCCCGCAAAGGTCTGGCGTGATGGCAGACGAAAGCGGCCCATACGGGGAGGAAGCCGCTGGCCCGGAAGAGAATGGAGGAGAAGCTGGAGCGCGTCCTGGCCTTCTCTCGACCTCCAGGATGGTGTATCGAGGCCCTTTTGGAGCCCTTGCCAGGTGTGGACCCTCGGCCAGTGGCGGCCCTGCTGCACCTCACTGCGCCTGACAGAAACCCTTGCGCATGCACTTGTGTACGGACGATACGAGCACGCCTCCAGGCCCATGACCGGCGACCAGGCAGATGGCCCGCCCAGGAACACCCCGACAAGCCCGCAAACCCAGACAGCTTTGCGCGCAAAGCAGCGCCCGCGTGAGGAGTCGCGACGCTTCCTTTAGAACACGCGTTGCGGATCGCCTGATCGGCCTCACTGTCTGCGTAAAATCGGCCATCGATCACTCGTCCGCTACGGACGGTGAGATCGTCAACGTAGGCGATCCACTCTTTAGTGAACGACGAAGTTGAAATCGTCGGGGCCGTTCACAGGGCCAAAAGTCAACCCGACCGGGAGGTACCGGAACGGGCGACAATGGCTAGGACGAGGTCCACTCCGCGCACGAGGGGGAAGAGTTCAATGCGGCCTTCAAGGACAGAGCCGGAGCGCCGGAGGAGAGCGAGGCCGCGGGACAGAAGGAGAAGCGTTCTGGTCACCAGCAGTAGTGGAAGAGCCGGTGATGGCAGCTCCCGTCCCCGAATCGGGCTTGAGGGCGCGGAACCTGGACTTTTTTGGGGGGGCTGGAGGAGCTGAAGAACCGGGCTGGCCTGGGGAACCAAGAGGCCCGGCCAGGGTCGATACTCCGAGCAGGGCGCTTTGGACAGGGAAGGAAGCGCGCCGAGCTGGAGAGGGAACCTCCTGCCCTGACGGACGGCATGGCCCGCGCTCCGGCTCCTGTGAAGCAAGAGGTGGTGGAGGTGGAAAGCCACTCCAAGTCCGGGAGGAGTCGGACGTGACGCGGCTCCCGCAAAGGATTCTTTGGAGGATCGAATTGTGGCCCGGAGCCTGAAGCTGAGGCGATCTGGGTCCAAGGAGATGGGTCGGAAGAAGAAGAAGAAAGGAAAGAAGAAAGGAAAGAAAAAGAAAAAGAAAAGAAGCAGAGGAGAAGAGTCAAGCGGCTCAAGCCGGTCGACGAGGTCAAGCAGCTCAACGTCGGAGGAGAAGGAGCTTGTGCCCCCAATCCGCCGCAAAGCGGAGAAGAAGCCGGGGGCAGTGATGGAAGAGTTGCTGGCCCATGCCAGGTCGGTGCTGTCCGAAAGGGAGGCTGGAGAGAGTTGGGGAAGCTCCAGCTCCCGGCTGGAGGGCGAGGTCAAGTTGACCTTGTTCTTCCAGCTGTTCGGGAAGGACAGGTTTGCCAATCGGCCCAGGGACCTTCGCGAGATGTACCTCCTGGTCCGATGCTCCGATCTCCTGCAGCAAGGATCAGCGAAGTGGCCGATGCCCTCGCCGGGCGCATAATGGCGCTCGAGGTGGAAACGATGGACTCCGGCAACCTGGCTCGACCGGAAACGCTTCTTGCAGCACAAAAACATGCTCGCCTCGTGGCAAAATCCGAACAGGGTTGGACACCCTGGGCCGGAAAAGGCAAAGGATTCGAAGACCCCGAAAGCTGGGCCACCCTTGGAAGGGGAAAGGAAAAGGAAAAGGCAAGAAGGGAAAGAGCTGGTGGAAGACTTCGGACAAGGAGAAGGAGACGGAGAAAGAGAAGGAGAAGCCGGACTCCAAACGCAAGAAGTGAGGGCTTCGCCTTGCCAGGCCGCTGCCGCGCCTCTTTCGGCTGGCTGTGTGTCCATGCCGGGGCCGCCTCCGGGTGGCTTGGGCGGGACCCACGTGCCGGCTGAGGAGGGAGCTGGCAGCTGGCCAGGGAGGGTTAGCTCCTTTGGGACTTTAGGGGTATGGCTTGCGTGGGGCTTTGTGAATGACGCCTTTTGCGTCCTTGGTGAGTTTTTGGAGCCGCTGTTGGGGAAAGGTCGCAGTCCTCAGGAGTGGTCGTCAAAGCACAGATCGCTTCTGCCCCTGCAAGTTGGCCCTTGCTGTAAAGTTTGGAGTCTTCGTGGCTCAACGTGAATTGACGTTTCTTTTGATGCTGAGCTTGTACAGGATGCTTGGTACTTTTGTGTAGTTTGCGCCGTAAACTGGCTTGGAGGATTTGGAGCTCCCCCAAAGTCACCGTGCCCTGAAAGAAAGGCTGGTGGCAACCGTGAAGTTGAAGAGCTCCTTAGGTATGAAGTTCGGTCGTTTCTTTGTAGGGATCCTGGCTCGTCAGTATAGGTTCTGCCTTCTGAACTGATACGTGAGGTTGATGCTGCTGTGCTTAGCTACTCAAGTGAAGAAGTTCTGCCAATGAGGCCGTTGACAGTGGATCAGACGGAACCAGCATTGCCTCCTGCTGGCGCAGGGACGCGTCTCAGCTGTTGATTTGGTTGATTCGGGGACTCGAATGTTCTTGTCTGACCCCTCCTTGTCCCTCTTGCCTAGTGAAGAAGTGGAGGACGGACCTTGCCAAGCTGCAGTGCATGTAGGGGCTGGTTCATCCGCTGCCGTTGCTAGGCTTCTGATTGATAGGGGGGTTTGTAAGCCTGTAAGGAGGAGTGAAGTCGGGCGCTTTCAGGGAAAGCCCGTGCTCAACGGGTTGTTTGGCGTGCCGAAACCCAAATACCTGAGTGATGGCAGGCCCATCCTCAGAACGATTATCAACTTGATTCCGAGCAATCGCATTCAAAAGGTCATTGGCGGGCATATCAACTGTCTGCCATCTATCACGAAATGGCAGTCTATCATCCTGGGAGATGGCGAGAATCTGCTGGCCTACCAGTGCGACATGGCTTGTGCCTTCTACTTGTTTGCTTTACCTGATGCGTGGCTCCCTTGGTTCTGTTTGAATTTTGACCTATCAGGACGCGACCTTGGACTCCCTACTGATGTCCGGTACACCATTGCGTGCTGTACTTTGCCCATGGGGTGGAAGTCTGCTGTGGGCATAATGCAGTGCCTGAGTAGGCGGGTGTTGTTGGAGTCCCGGCTTCCTGAGACGCATGAGGTTCGGAAAGATCGAGTAGTTCCTAACTGGCTGGCAGAGTGTTGTGTTGGCGTCGTGGTGGTGAGCATGGATGGTGGCAAGTCTACTTGGACAACTTCATCTCGTGTGAAGTAGTGGGCCCTGGAAAACCCGCTAAGGATGGGAAGCTGTTCTTTGATCAAGCACACACAGGTTGGGACAGCTTCGGGATTCTTTGCGCAGTGGACAAGGATGTTAAAGGGGCTGGTTTGGCCCATGAGCTGGGCGCTGAAATCAATGGGGAACTAGGCAAGGTTAGTGGCGGAACGGCCCGGCTCTGGAAGACGGCAGTGTGTTCGCTGGCAGTTGCTTTGTTGTCAAAGCGCCTTACCCCCAAAAGAGTGCAGGTTTTGGGGGGCCGTTGGGCATTCATCGCCCAATTCCGCAGGCCATTGTTCGCTGTCTTTTCTAATTTATGGCAAGCTGCCTTGCCGGGCTGCTCCCTGGCTGCCCGGCGGCGTGCTGGGTTGGAGCTGGTAATGGCAGTATTGCTGAGCCCGTTGGCGTCGTGTAACCTTCGACGGTCACTTCACTCTCAGGTCGTGGCTACTGACGCTTCAGAACGTGGAGGAGCGGTGTGTGTTTCTAAAGGGCTGAGTTGGTCTGGGAAATCGTACTGCTCCGTTCTCCGGCATTGTGAGGGGCCCTTGGAGTCGAACTTGTTGGTTGTTTCATTGTTTAATGGAATTGGCGGCGCGTTCCGGGCTTATGATTTGTTGGGGATTCATCCGCTGGGGCTTGTCGCAGTGGAATGCCACAAACCTGCCAATCGAGTTACGCTCCGGGCTTGGCCTCGTGCTATTGTGGTGGATGACGTCAATGACGTTGACGAGGCAATGGTGTTGAACTGGCTGATGCTTTTTCCCATGGTCACTGAAGTCCACGTGTGGGGAGGCTTTCCTTGTGTTCATCTCTCGTCGGCTCGGGCCGGTCGAAAGAACTTGGAAGGGCCGGGTTCCAACCTGTTCTGGAAGCTTGTGGACATTCTGCACATGGTCCGTCAAACGTTCTCTGCGGTTGCCTCTGTAAAATGGGTCGTGGAGAATGTAGCTTCCATGGATCCTGACGCCCGTGACCAAATCAGTTCCGTGCTGCAAGTCCTCCCCTTGCGGCTGGATCCAGCTGATGTGCTTCCTTATTCACGGCCTCGCTTAGCCTGGATTTCTGAAGAACCATTCGAGACCGATGGATCTCTCCTGTCTCGTCGTAAGGGGTTTGTGGAAGTAACCATGAAGGCTGCAGGGGTGACGGAGTCTCAATGGATTCAGCCCGGCTGGAAGAGGGTTGACCCCTCCTGTCCGTTGCCGACTTTTATGAAGTCCATAAAGAGAGACAAACCGCCTCCAGTGTAGGGCTTCTGCGTACCCCGCCGGATGCCCAAAACCGCTGGGCTGATGATGAATTTCGCTTTCCTCCGTACCAGTGCAAGGAGCAGTTTTTGGTCACCGATGACTCTCTCCTTCGTTATGTGAACTCAGGTGAACGCGAAATCCTCATGGGTTTTGGTCCTCAACACACACGTTTTTGCTACCCAGCATCCGAGATCAAAAAGAGCGCTTCACGCCATGAGGATGAAAGGCTTAGCCTGGTGGGGGACAGCTTCAGCATGCTGTCATTCGGTTGGGTCGCTGGCCAACTGTGCCGCGCGATCAGACCACCCATAACGGTGCAAGAGCTTGTTAACGTTTTGGGCCTGGCCCCAGGAGCTTGCGCGCGTGCGGGGGCTTCCGCACCCATGGGTCGATGGAAACAGTACGGTTTCCATAGCATTGAGGATTTAGAAGACAATTCGCAACTCCTGGTTAACAAACTTGCGCTGGGGGCTAACCACACAGGTTCTGATGTCCGCATCACTACTGGAGAGCTTATGACCCCTTCCAAGTCCGTTAGGCAGAGTGTTGAAGCTATTTGGTGGCAGTGGAAGCAGGTCTTCAGTAAAAGATGGGAATTCCCTCATCATATCAACGCTCTTGAGATGCGAGCCTTACTCCTGGGACTTCAATGGCGAGCACAAAGGCCGGGTCACCTGGAAAAAAGGGTTGTTCACCTCGTTGACAGTTTTGTCACTCTAGGAATTGTTTGCAAGGGGCGAACTAGTTCGCTGATGCTTCGATCCCTTTCTCGGCAAATCGCCGCGCATGTTCTGGCCATGGGTGTTACAGTCATCCTGGCCCATGTTGACAGCTCCGAAAACCCAGCTGATGATGGTAGCCGCAAGTGAGTGACTCGCTTCACAATTTGATCACAGAGGTGTGGTCGCTAAGCTTTGTTCCTGTTTTTATGGAATTCAAGAGTAAGCAACTTGCAAGTTGCGCCGTCGAATGCCTCTCTTACAGCTTCGCCGTGGTAGAGGGACGTGGAACAGACAACAATGCTGACGCATATGCGTCGTTCAGTTTGGCCAAAAATTAAAAAAGGTGGGCTCTGGTTCCAAACCAATTGTACCCAGTGCATGCCTCTTGCACTGGACGCTTGTGAGAAAGCCCCCTTTCAATTGATTGGGTCATATATATGGCCGGCCATTCTGTTGGGTTTTCTGGAAAGCAATTCCAGAAAAGTACGTCCCTCGGACTGCGACTAAAAAAGAGTGAGATGCGAACACTTGATATTCGTGACGAATGTTAGTGTGAGTGTCGACAAGCTTTTTGTATGTGAAGGCGCAGCCCTTTTGAGCTCCCGCCCACGTCCGCCCTCAGTTTGGCCAAAAATAAAAAAGGTGGGCTCTGGTTCCAAACCAGTTGTACCCAGTGCATGCCTCTTGCACTGGACGCTTGTGAGAAAGCCCCCTTTCAATTGATTGGGTCATATATATGGCCGGCCATTCTGTTGGGTTTTCTGGAAAGCAATTCCAGAAAAGTACGTCCTTCGGACTGCGACTAAAAAGGAGTGAGATGCGAACACTTGATATTTGTGCAAGGGGTAGGCAATTTGTGTATGCCATTCGACGGGTCTCGTTCTATACGTGTGCATGCAGATGTCTGGAGCTCCGCAAGTTCTAGACGTATCAGCTCCACATGCCCCCAGTGAGTGACGGTGAAATATTTCAACTGCATGGTTTGAATTATGGAAGCTTGTTGGCACCTCCACTATGGCATCTCCTTCTGCCACATCTCGCCGCTGCAGCGACTCCCGCTTCAGCAGCTCCTACTCAAGCTCATGCTGACCCCATATTGCAAGATTCTCCTACTCCTCAGCTCCGCCTTCTCCTACCATGACAACTGCTACTGGGCGGCGAATGTTCTTGTCATCCTCTGATGGCGATGGTGTGGCTGCTCTCCGGCCCTCATCGGCTTCATGAATTTCTGATTACACTGGTCTGTTGCGTTTCCCTGCCGCTGCCCAGGCCCTGAGGTTAGCAGCCTCTATGGTGCATCATGTAGATGCTAAAGAGGTGCTTGTCGGGAATGACAGAATGATTCCCATGAATCCTTGCAGAAATTCCTCCACACGCTCAAGACATCCCCGGGATTTTTCTTCTAGTGCGAAGTACCACGTACTAAAATCGGTTGTACAAATCCACCTCACCCTCGCTGTCAGGTGAAGACGAGCCAGCCTCAGCTTTTGAAAATAAAGCGAAGCATCTCTGTTTTTGTTCAGAACTTAGGGGTCCATCCACGTAGAAGGGACCCCAAGTAAGATGAGAGGTCTATGTTGGAACGGGTATCTTTGCGAACTGCCGCTCTTGGGTAAGCACTCTTCGCACGTCTCCTTGCTTCTCACTGTTCCTGCCATGCGCGAAGGTGTCCATGCACGGCTGCGTGGTTGAACAGCGTTGCTTGCAAGCCGGGGACCCCATGAGATTTACGTCACGGTTGTTCATATCAGTAGCAACATCAGTAACAATATAACCTTAAAGTGCTATTTGTATTGTTATCAGCCATCATTATAATGTGAGTTCAGGGTTTGGGGTCATCACTACTGCTTGATTACAAGTACCCTCCTAAACCCTAAAATCCACACTGCAACAACGCCATGAGCGGTTGCAGGACGTGCCCTCCTTTGACGTTCACTTCAGCAAGGATGGCAATCGGGTTTAGGTGAGGAAGGGAAACATGGAAGCTTCTATGGGGTATAGGGGTTCAGAGTTTGGGCAAGAGTCTCCCTGGTCCGTACAGATTGTTTAAAGTAGAAAATATGAGGGCTGCTGTAAAGGTCCGAGTGTTCCGGTTATACCCTAGGTAACATTCCATAGGTTGTATTCGGCTTCGTGAACTCGGAACGAAGGCACAAGAGTTCCGTATCAGTGTTCTCAGAAGGGAAGGTGAACAACTGCCAAGCCCTCATCGCTTTTTGATGGGCTGCCTGCCCACTCGCCTGGTGCTTTGTAGGGGATACGGGGCTTGATCCCCCTAATAATCCCTAAGCCCTAAACCCTCAAATTGTTCCCATCCCTTTTGGTTGGTAATGTTTCCTGTATGATGTTATATAACTAACTATATGACCCATAAGAGTCCATGTTTATGGGCCGCTCAAGCTATCTAAGCTCTTGTGATTCTGCAGCTGTTTAGCTCATCAAGGTGAAAATGAAGTGACATGCTGACCTACACAATTAGGCAGTCAGTTTTTTGAAAAAAGGAAACTATGCACCAGGCCCTTGTAAACACAACCTCGATTTCAGTTTCCGTTTGATTCTCCATTATGGGTAATTGCTCCCTCGTTCCCTTCTATGCGGGGGTTCCAGAAATGGGGGATCCCAATATGGACGGCAAAATACAGTAATCGGGGAAATCCTTTCCATGGCCCCTCCCCCCTCCAAACAAAAAACAACACCGCAGGAGCGAGCTGCGCTTGCCTCTGCGCAGCCTCTTCAGAGATTCAAACTTGCTAAGTCAGCAGCTTCCGACTTAGCAGTGATCAGGTCCTACGCTTCGGGAAAGGGCAACAAGGGGCCTCCTGCAAAGGGCCAAGGTCGCTTGGCCTTGTTGGATCAGGAATTTAGGTGAGATGCATGTCATGTTGCGCCCGCACGGATGAGGCTTTGACCAGGGCGGCACTGACGTCCCAAGAGTAACCCTATCCAAGGGAGGCACCATGTCCCCGTCTCAGATGGGTCTCGTGGCGTCCTGTTCTGTGCATGCTTCCCTTACTATTCAGGCGGGCGGCAGCGCCGACGTCCAGCCCTTGTGCAGGCTGTGGAGTAGTTTAAGATTCGAAACTACAATGTTGCGTACGGCATTGTTTGCAGGTAAATGCCTGCTTGACTTACTGGTTCTTAGAAAGGAGTTAGTGCCTCAGTGCCAGCTGTGCCTTTTGAGATTTATAGGTTCGAATCTTTTCACTTTCAAGTGCCATAGCTCTGCGCTGGTGGCTGTCCCCGTGTCTGTTTGGTGGCATTTCTGAGATGTGGGTGCCTTTTACCAGAGCCAGTATGTGAGCCAATTTTGCACTTGCTACTTACCAGGGGAGCCTTAAGGCTGACATGGGGCTCCTCAAGCTAGTTACATCTAGAGAGATATAGAGTCTGAGAATGTTCCCCAGGGAGTTCCAATATCCACTATCCACACGAGTAATGTTGCTCATGTCAGGCGGAGCACGGAAGACCCACCGCCCCTTTGATTTTGGAGAGCCCCATGTTGTTTGTCAGGGCACTTGCAGCCGTCGAAGAAGGTGCCATCCTGGGATGATTGATGTTCTTGTTCTCCAGGGTCTCCGGGTATTTGAGTTTTTTTTGTCATGCCCGTGTTTTCATGACTTCCAATTCTGGTGCTTGGGGTTTCTTCTGCAAAGATGGTGGAAGGCAATCCCCAAATTCTAACTTCGAGTCTACGAGAGCATTAAACTCTGCGCTGTGGCCTGCGTTCACGCTCCAAAAGATCTCTCGAATCCCGCGTTCGATGTTGCAACGTTTAGTGTTCTGCCTCAAGCCTTGATACCAATCCCCTCAGGAGAATACGAGTTCTACGAACATGCGGCTCAAAACCAGGGTGCAGAACACGAACACTAGCATAAGGGCACGTTTTCATTTCCAGTTTCTACATTGGGATTGTACTTTTGCCATGCTCTGAGCCTGGAGGTTGTCAAGACAGATGGCAAGGACCTGGACCCAAGGCTCGGCCGCGGGTGGAGCCTTAATTCAGGGATCTTCAATGATTGTGAGCATTTGCGTCGGCATGTGTGCTTGGAGATATTCACGACATCAATTCGCCTTTCTGCCTGGACATGAACAGGTGCGTTGAGGTGTACCGCCGCATGCAGTCGTTGGAAGAGACGAGACACGCCGGCATTAGGTTTGGGTGCTCGGGCTTTGGATTCCAAGTTAGCTTCCAGGTTGAAGACAGTTTTGAAAGAAGTGTTTCGAGTGAGGCTTCACGATTCAAAGCTGACGTTCTGCCATGCTCGGGCTGGTCGTCTTCTAAATTAACTGATATTTCTATATTATGGCGCAGTCATCTCGTTGTTTTTGAAAAGCTAGGTGGTACCGCGCTTCAATGGGTCTCAGAATAACGTTTGTTCCTGACAATGGTGTGATTGCAGCTACATTCCTCCCAGAAGTTTTGCAACAAAGAGCAAGATGATGGAAGAAACTTTCAGAGGACAAAGTTGCGACATGTCACCATTTGTGGCCTTTGTGAGACTTCATTTGGAAGCCTCGACCTCAGTCCGTTGCCATGAGGACTCGGTGGGTGCCGGTGTATGACATCGCCTTCACGCAGGCCAACTTCTTGCATGATCCTAGATATGCGAGTCATCGCTAGCAGGACTGGGTTCCATGGGGGAGTTACATCGGTTCAACCTCGTGGAATTCCCTGAAGCTCAGAGCTAAATGCCAAGCTCTATACCCACATGTGCAGCATCGGAAATCGTCATCAGGTGCAGTCTTCTTGTGTTGGACTTACTAGGAGACATGAATCTGTAAGACATGCTCAGAACAAGCTTCTGTGATCAGTCAGGCGGCTAGAAGGACATGTTTTGCCGTCACTGTCAAAATCAAGTTCTAGGTAGATGTCCTATAATTGTCTATACTGTTGTTTGTGGAGTCCACGTTCTGCTCTGATGTTCAGTTACAAGGTCGCATGGCGCTCTGGAATGGATTAGCCTGTCAAACAAAAGTGAATGTTTCCCTGATGTCAGCGTAGGTAACCTAGATCAGTTTGTACAATCATGACTGCATGTACTGCAGGTGCCTTGAGTCAAGCCCAAAAGTGCTTCGCAGTGATGCGTAGCTATCCCTATCATTACCGATGCTAGTAGCGGAGCAGGTGGCAGCACCTGTATCCGGTAGGGTAGGTACTGTCTTGTTCTCAGAGCCGGGCGAGCCTTTCTTTCGACCCAGTAATTCGCCCCCTAGCTTGCTGTAGACTACTGCTCCTTTCGAGCCATGTCTGTAGCTGGACTTCGGTGCCAGCCCAGGACAGGAGCTTCTGGTACTCCTTTGGAGACCAGATCCAGATCATACATTTACAGCGGTAGTCCAGCTTCTTTTCACGATTGGGAGTTCAGGGCCTGAAACTTTACGAGGATGCTATCAGATCTACGAAAAAGACGGATACCACATCGGCAGTTTCAAGCGCCGAAGACGTTGACTCATCGGACCATCTGGCCGATGAGGAACCTCATACCGAGCCTGCGGATGAGGAAGATGAGACTCCCAGTGATGAAGCCGAGAGCGCGGCCGAGAAGGCAAGCATTTCCACCGGCAAGGGGCAAGGCTTGACCAAATCCAAGCTGAAGGGTCTCAAGAGATCCAAGAAACGCAGTGTCTTGTCCATGTCATACAAGAGTGGAGACATGGATGAAACCACGTTTATGTACACAAGGCAAAGATGAAAATGGTTCACCGTATCCTAGAAGGACTTCACGATGAAGCCTTCGAACTGGTACCCCTGACCGCACCCGGAGGGCTACGCTCCTTCGTGGAGAAAATGCGGGAGGTTGTGTTCGCCCGTGCCACTGAAGAAGCCAGAGAGCTCTTCCGAGCTGGACAGAAGCCAGGAGTGCTATCCAGACAGTCCGGGGAATCCATGTTGTCGTACGTCTCCAGACGACGACGATGGTGGAAACTACTCCGCGCGTTGGACACCAGCATCGAGCTTTCGGAGCCGACGCGCGTCGAGCTTATGCTAGAACTGTCCGGGTCATCTCGCCAAGAAGCCCTAGTCGTGAAAGCTTGCGCCGAAGACTCCGAAAGCTTCGACAGCGTTGCCACAATTCCTGTGGACCGCTACGCAGGGCTCCATCTCCGAGAGGGTAGGGCCCTCAGAGGACAAAATGCCAATCCTCGACCTGGCTTTCGCTACGCCGGGAAGGGTAGCAAGTCAAAGGGCAAGTCCAAGGGCGTTACCCGACGAGCTTACGCAGCCGTCGAGGAAGGCAATGAGGATGACGAAGACTCGTGGTATGATGAGTCTTGGGAAGGTTATCCATTGGAGGCCTATCTAGCAGCGTCCTATGACGACGACGAGGACGACCCTGAATTGCTACCTGATGAGGAGCAAGAATACGAAGAGTTCGAACTCGATGAGCGCAAGGACATCGCTCTGAACTTTATTGAGGAGTTGGATGATACCGCAGATGCGGGTCACGCCATCCAACTGCAGCTCGCTGCCCGCGCTGCTTTTGGAAAGCCAAGGGCAAGGGCAAGCCACGCCCTAAGGGCAAAGGAAAGGGTAAGGTAGTAAGATCACACCTTATGCTTGAGCAACGCCGCGACAAGCTCAAGGCTCTCAAGGCGAAGAGAAGTGCCTTCGCTGTGGAGGCACCTGCCACTGGGCCGGTGACCCAGAATGCAAATCCCCACAAAGTCGCGAGGAGGCGGCTGCAAGTTGCGCCGATTTCGGTCGCGCTGCTGATGCACCTTGCCCGGGGTGAGGTGGCAAGGGCTGGCGTTCGTTCACCAAAAAAATGGTGCGCGAATGTGCGCGAACTGGCTGCTGCCACTACACGCAGCCCTTCCGAATCGTTGCCTTGGAGAAGTGCAACGTGAGCACGGGCTTGCTGCCTCCGCTATCGCGATTGCTTGTTACCACCGACCTTGCCACCCAGTCACCGGGTGCGCGTGGGCCTGCTTGCTCGCAAGGCCAACGTGAGCTGCCGGGCCGGAAGGACAGGGCGTCGCCCAGCAGGCTGTTGCAAACGGCGGCCCCAATGTGGAGCCGACAGACTGCCCTGGATTTGACATGCCCGTGTGTGGGGCCAGGCCTGCGCAACGCGCGCTGTGCTGCGACGCCGCTCTCGTTTCGCCGCTGACATGGACGGGGCAGCCGCAGCCCCCCAGCAAGCCACGTGCCCCCGAACTTGCAGCCAGCGGCCTGCAATGATCGGGACGGGGGTGGCCGTTGGAACAACGGTGCGTACCGTACGTGGCTGGTGCGCAACGTGGTCGCCGAACCCCGCCAACGGTTTGACGTGTCGCGGTGTCTGGTTGGGCGCGTCAGTCGCCGTGCAGCACGCAGTGGCACTTTAATTGCATGCTGCCGACCATCATAATTCATCCACATGGACTGTGCAGCTGGGACGCTGCCACTTGAATGCGTCCTCGAGAGTCGGAACGCTAACTGCAGCCGACCGCCGCCGCCGGCCTCACTCACAAGTAGTGCTAGGTTCGCCAATGGGCCGTGCGGGCACAAAAATCCGGAAAAAAATCGTTTGCGTTGGTGAAGGACAAAATGGAGCAGGTCGAAGATGCTGGAGGCTCAGCCGACACCGGGCCTATGGTGATGGAATGTGGTGACCGGAAGTGCTACATGGGTCAATTCAAGGGCAAGACCTACCATGAGCTTGCTCAAAACATTAGCCACACAGCATGAGCGAAACAACAGATTACACCTTCTAAGCAATTGCAGGACTTCCTTACTTGGTTCGATCCGTGTTACGTAGTAGCCGGTGGAGCAGTAGAAGTCCGCCTTTAGGAATCCCAGAGGGTGTACCAACCCCGGTCTAAGCCGACGGGAGGTAAGAAGGTACCACCTAATCCACCTCTCGAGCAGAAATGCCGAGAACGCAGGGATTTCTCCTACGCAGGATCTTCCACGAACTTTGTTCAAACGGCCTGCAGAGACTGTGGCCACGAGACCAAAGACAAACGAGAGCTCGTTCTCACGCGCGATCCCGCGACGTGTCCCCACAGCCTTGTGGACCACATGCAGGGGTTAAATGAACTCCCAACAGGGAAGGATTCACTTTCTCTGCCCTGTAGAACAGTTGCTCGACCCCAACAACTGTTACTTTGATGTCATGCTCGTTTCGTTTAGTAGCACGACAATCAAGAGGGTATGCAGAGCGGCCCTTCAGGCGGAGACCTATGCTCTCCAGAACGCACAAGACGCCGGCGACAAGATACGCGCCGTACTTGCCGAAATGCATGGACATCTGTCACCGGGTCCGGATTGGTATGGCTCTGCAAGGAAGCATGTTCCTCATATCATGCTATCCGACTGCCGAAGTCTCGTGGACCATCTTAACGTTGAGGCCCCGGCCAAGGTGCAAGACAAGCGTCTGCAGATAGAGCTCAATGCTCTAAGACAGTCGATCTTCCTTGACAACGGAACAAGGACTGCGACTTACTACCCAGACGGGGGGTGATCGCGTAGACATGGTGCGACACTGCAAGGCAGGCCGCTGATGGTTTCACTAGGGCCATGAAGCCGGACTTCCTATGGAAGATCCTTGGCTCGTGCTCCTACGAGATAAAGAGAGAGCTAAACTATGGGCTTCCTGTGTATGACTCGAGGTCATACGTATGACCATCCGTGGCATACAATGCAGCATAATTAGTGCACACTTGTATATAGTGAATTGGGAATACCAGCGCCCAGGATGCACTGGCTGTAGCTGCAGTGAATGCTCGAGGAAGATAGCTAACCGCGTCTTCGATCGCGTAGTTTTGTAGATCTAGTACACAAACTGACTAGAGGACAGGTTGAGTGTGAATGTCTCCCTGCTGGCAGTGCAGGTAACCTAGATCAGTTTGTACAGTCATGACCGCGTGTACGGCAGACGCCTTTGGTCAAGCCCAAAAGTGCTTCGCAGTGATCTGTAGCTATCCCTATTATTACCGATAAAAAGCGTATGCTGAGAAAGGTATCGGCTTGAGTTTTAGTGTGCTCTTTTTGCTGCCTTTGGGGGTTCGTGGGTCACGGAGGAGAGCTGCGGCGACCACTTCTCGGATGGGACGACTTTGCAACACCTTCTGGACCAACTCAAATCAGGAGAGCTTTTTCAAGGAGTTGCCAGGAGACATGATGACTATGTAGATATCATGGGGTGTTTGCATAGGAACAATTTCAAGCAGCCCCTGTAGCAGCAAGGTAGCTATCAAGACATCATGCAACCCAGGATATGTTTTCCGCTGTCATTAGGACGATGTTTTTGCCATTGAGCTGGCAGGAGAGGTCCAGCTTGATGCAGCGTTCCTGCAGCTTTTCTGTGTGGAGACTGGCGCGGGCATTGTATCCATCAACAACAGGCCAGTGCTCTCCAGTCCTTGGTTCCGTTTCTGGTCGTTAAGGTTTGCGCGCTTCCGTGCTACAGGCGTCTGTTGGTTCTCAAGTCTTTTGCGGACTCCATTCGCAAGAACATCCACGTGTGCTGCAGGGCCGCGCAGCTGCAAATGTACAACAGGTTTTTAAGCGCTCCTTAGCAAGGTCAGTGCTTTCAATGTCAACTCTTCTCCCTTTACGCAGCTCGCCCTCTACACAGCATGAATATAACATGAAGCAGGGGCTTGTGGCACTACTTTGTTACAACCCTAAGCTCAGCCCACAGGCTCCACCCTGAATGCCACTCCTTTATCGTGCATCCCTGCATGAGAATTTGACTCCTGGTTTCGTGCAGACTTTCACGAGCGACCATGTCGAATGTATGCAGGTACGTACCCTTGATGCTGACTGCGAGCGCCTCCTGGAAAGCTGCTATGATGGCCACTTGGTTTTTACTTGGAATCTGACAGCCAGCCGCCAGCTATCGTCCTAGACCTCTGCAAGCTCCTCATAAGACAGACTTTGAGAGTGACCAAGGCAGGTACTACCGGGACACTTTCTTGCAACAGCTGAAGCTCATGCAGACAATTGTCTTCCACAGGGACATCTCGAGGGCTTCATGACTTGTGTTTTTCACAAGCCTTGTCCAAAACTTCGAGGTCAAATGTGACCGCAGCAATGACGAATTGTACTCCCACCCGAAGCCCCAAAACCCCCAACAGCCGAGCGGCCGTTAAGCCCCAAATCTCAGGGCCCGGAGTAGTTGCATCTCCGCATGATCAAGCGGATCTCAAGTGGATCTGTGGAGACCTTGCAGGACAAGCATTACTCGAAGAAGATCCGGGTGCGGCGAAGCATCCGTGCCTGGGTCCAATTGAAAGGGGTTGGCATTTCGGGTAAACTTTGGGCCAGCTTAAACCAGGTTCTATGATTCTATGATTCTGTAGGGGACGTATGCTGCTCCTGTAGGGCGCATGGTTGGACAGGTCGTAGTTTCCGGTCGCTTCCGGCCCCCCCAAGACACTGCTGGACTCAAGGCTTGCACTTGAGTGTTGACTGTCAATCCACCTGATTCGCTCGATCGAAGTAGAGCACACTGTGAGCTGTGCGGATATGGGGGACTTATACCCCTTGCCTCCTGAATAAGTCTTTGGATGGCCACGGCTTGTGTGAAACTGTTCACACCCTTACTGTCAGAGAACATGCCACTTATCATGACAATTTACACGAATGTTGTTTACGGCTAGCGGAAACCCACTCATCTCCGACTGCGTATGAGATCCGGCGCGGCTCACATGTTAGGTCTGTCATGTTCCACCAGCATGAAGCTAGCAAAACTACAACAATGAAATTGTAACCAGACATCATGATCTGATTTTGCTGCAGTATTTGCCGCAGCATGTTATGCTTTGATTATGCTATCCACACTCCAGGCAAACCATGATAACAAGGGCGGCCTTTGGTATCTTTACACATACATAGGTGGCCATTGGCTTGGAGAAGCCACCTTGCAAATGGCACATGCAATACATCTTCAGTATGAGACTTGCTTGCGCAGGCCAAAGCCGGTCTTTTGTGTAGTGGTGATTTCTTCAGGCAAGCAGTTTGTTGACTCTGGCTTGATAGCATGGGAGCCGAACATGTTCACTTCACCGTAGGCCACCTAAACCCTGATAACCTCAATCTGAAGCTCACGGTTTGTCTAGGGACAAGTATGATCCGCAATTCACTTCTTTGTCCTTGAGGATGGT